GCTTTTTGGAGCAAAACCGTCTTTTAATTCCATTTCCCCATGAACATTCTGAAGAACACTCAGATCATCTTAAGAAAGCGGCGTTAAGAGCTGCTCTCAGCACGTGCACAACTACTTCCACAGAGCAAGCTTGGGTTGTGGCGCCCACCGATATGGAAGAAATGCATCCATCCACTGCTCCAGCTTTTTCTTTGTGTGTGTGCTTTGAATTGGCCTTTCAGAAAAGTTCACTTCATGAACAATACTGACTTTCTAAATAGGTTATGGCTACTTCTTATGAACTCGTCTCACACTTCCTTGTCGTGAACAGGTTGCAGACATTCGTTCTAGGTAGTTTAGCATTAGCCAACTCCACGTTATCAAGCACTCCCTCAATCCTTTATGAACTCTTAGCTCTCCAGCTCTAGCTTGAAAGAACAAAGCTGTCGTTTCTAGCTTCAGCACTTCACGTCTGACTCACATAGACCTGAACCACTACCCTGTTCCTGTCTCTCGTAAAGCCTTGGTAATTCCCCTGAATTTGTGGGAACAGATCCTCTCAGAAGTTCCACTCTGTCTTTCAATCTAGGGAAATTAAACAGATTCGAGCCTTGGTGCTTTAAAAATAGGGGGACTACCTACAGTTCATTTTCTAATTTTCAGTGATTATATACTTACAGTGCCAGGATCACTTAAACAAACAAAAACTCCACCTGACTGTCCTGAGGGCATAGGTCGTTTTTGGCATTTTGAGGTTTATGCAGCCCTTACATCGCGATTCTTCCTACCCTGAGCTCAGCATTAATACATGGAGTAAATTATGCACAAAACTGCTGCAAGTTTTGGGTAAACACTGAAATGTTGCCGGTAGGCAAAGAGCTAAGACATATAATCTTGAGACCCTCATTTATTGCCTTTTCTTCAACAAGCTTTTTCTTACTAAGTTCTTTTTGGTTTTTCTGTTATGTTTTCCGCTCAGTATTGGTAGTTCCTTCTAAAGACTTCCATATTTTAAAAAAGGAAGGTACTTAGGGACACACTTTTTTTTTTTTTTTTTTTTTGACAGGCAGAGTGGACAGTGAGAGAGAGACAGAGAAAGGTCTTCCTTTTTGCCGTTGGTTCACCCTCCAATGGCCGCAGCATCGCGCTGATCCAAAGCCAGGAGACAGGCGCTTCCTCCTGGTCTCCCATGCGGGTGCAGGGCCCAAGGACTTGGGCCATCCTCCACTGCACTCCCTGGCCACAGCAGAGAGCTGGCCTGGAAGAGGGGCAACCAGGACAGAATCCGGTGCCCCGACCGTGACTAGAACCCGGTGTGCCGGCGCCGCTAGGCGGAGGATTAGCCTATTGAGCTGTGGCGACGGGCAGAACACACTCTTAACAAGATTTAGGGTTTGTATTTTAAACACGTATACAGG